ATTTTAACTATTTGTAATTATTTTAATTAACTGGAACGTGGCTATCTTGGACAAAGTGAAGTTTTGTGTGTTGGTGATTTCTTTTTCTACTATAAATGCCTCTGATGATGGCTCCGTGGTGAGCCGAAACATGTAAGGCAGGTGCTGACGAGGTGGAAAACTTAAAAAAGTGTCACATTTGACGGAAGAAACTTGATTGTTAATTTAATGGATATTTTATCATATTCAGATGTATTTTTAGGTTTAAGGGATTTAATGAGGCTTTCAATTTCCTTTGTTGTTGAAAATTTGAGTTCTTTGTTGGGTAAGGAGCTGTTAAAGGCACAAGCCAGGTAGTGTGATGGATCACTATTAATGGTGCTATTATGTTTATTGTTGATATGATTAATACCATCATCATTATCATCATTAGTAGTAGTAGTAGTAGTAGTAGTAGTAGTAGTACTCTCTTGTGGAAGAGTTTTTTCAGCAACCAAAAGAAGTATTCATTAAAGACATTAGCAATAATTTGTGGATTAACAGTGGAATCAGCATCTACATTTATTTCTTGTATACTGATATTCTCATTTTTATTAATTCTTTTGCCTGGTTCTACTTTTACACTTACCCAGGTGGTTCTAATTTTGTTATTGGATCTTAGGATTTGGTTATTACAATTATTTCGTTTAGCTTCCAAAATTACATTTGACAAAACTTTGTGATACAGCATGTAGTGGCGTTTCGCTTTGGATTATGACTGTCCCTGCTGGTCAGATGAAGTTCCCTTTTATGCTTACATGAGGTTTTTATTCCTGTTGTCATCCAGGTGTTAATTGTGGCTGTGTTTTGGGCTATTTATTACAGGTAAGCTTGAGCAAAAGATCAATAGGTATTGAGAAAGGAATTAAATTCAGTGTCAATGTAAACATTACTGAATAGAGTATCACATGTTTCACTGCTTAATTTCATAAGAATGTCAGCCATTGAGTGACTGTCTATTTTCCTTATCAATTGCTGTTGTTGATTCTGAGGTTCCAAACCTGGACAGATGTAAGAATATATGATGGGAAGTTATGTTTTAATTATCACCATGAGAAAATCATAATTTCAAAATATTGTTCTATATAGGAGATAGCCCATGTCCTGAGCTTGCTGAACAGTCAAATTTTCCAGCGTCAAGTGGTAGCCACCAGGAGGGGCTGAAGCAAAATGGCGATGTTGGTTGAGAAAGTGAAGGGTCATGCTGTGATATGGTTCCTGTATTTGCAGGAACTATTTCTAATTTTGAACTATCAATGAAAATATTATCAATTGCTGATATGGAATTATTTTGAATGCTTCTTGGAAAGTTTACAATACCGGAAAGATTGTATGATAGCAGCAGAGAGTTTAAACACATTTTCCTGTTATTGTCAACAAGAGAGTTTACATTTATGTCACCACAAATCGCATCTTCATTTTTTGGGGGTATGCAGTATATTAAGGATGGACTCTAGTCTATTTAAAAATTCAAAGAAGTTCTCAGATGGGACTCTATATAGGGCCAAAATATATGTATCTGAAAATGTGGATTTTAATCTCAGAGCACAGGTTTCTATGTCCTTGTCTAGACAGTACTCCTCTATATTACGTAGGTCGTACCGAAAATCATGAGCAACTTTATTTTGCATGCAACCTGGGAACAGCAGAGGAAAGAGAGTATGGTGGTAGGTGGAACCAGCTGTTGTGTTAACCTTAAGTGTTTTGTGATGTCAATAGCTTGTATCACGTGACCAGCATCACTCCCGACAAAATGGCCGACAACCACATGTCACTTCGCCAGCGTGCTGTCATCGAATATCTTGTGAAAGAGGAAATCCTTGCTGCAGAAATTCACCAGAGACTTCAGCATGCTTATGGAAGTGTGTACATGGGTGCGAGCAGTGTTCGAAGATGGGTGAAACATTTTAAAGATGGGAACACCAGCATTGAAGATGAGCCTCGGAGCAGTCGTCCTCAAACAGCCGCAACTGAACGCAACAAGGAAAGAGTGGATGAGATCATTCAAGATGACAGGCATGTGACTGTGGACACAATAGCCCAAAAACTTGGAATAGGGCACAGTGCAGTACAGGAGATGATTGAAAGCTTGGGCTATAGGAAAGTTTGTGCTTGTTGCATCCCGTGGTTATTGACTGAAGACCACAAAGGTCAGCGAAAAGCCATCACCTCAGAATTGCTGCAGAGATATCGACACGAAGGCGATGATTTTTTGCTCTGTATTGTGACAGGTTACGAAAGCTGGTTTCACCATTTAAAGCCTGAAATGAAATGGCACACTTTGCATTCGCCATCAAAAAAAGGCAAAGACAGTGCTATCAGCTGCGAAGGTGATGGGCACAGTCTTCTGGGGTGCAGAGGGGTTTATTCTGGCCAAATTCCTGGAACCTGGCCAAAACATCAATGCTGCTCGTTATGTCCAGATGCTTCACAAGCTCCGTCGGGCATTGCGCGATAAATGTCCAGGCCGAAACATCATCATCCTGCATGACAATGCTTGCCCTCATGCCGCTCACCTCACATTGGAAGCAACTGCAACTGCAACTCCTATAGCCCTTATCTGGCACCCTCCGACTACCATCTTTCCGGATTTGTGAAGGATCAGCTGCGTGGACGTTTTGAGACAAGGGAGGCAATTCAGAGAGCAGTGCATCAGTGTCTTCGGATGGCTGGAACGGAATTTTACAGAAGGGGAATTTTCAAACTCCCAGAACGCTGGGTGAAATGTGTACAAAGAAGTGGTGATTATGTGGCAAAATAAAGAAAGGTCTGTAGATTGAGGTGGTGTATTTGGTTTGTCAATAATAAAGCATGTTACTTTACAAAAAAAAATTTGCTTATGACTTTCAGTATGACCCTCATAGCAACAGTGAATGTTAGTTTTTTTTTGAACAAATATATTCTTAATTTATTATGTTGTAAAACTTTGTTTCTTTGTCTTTGAATGAAGAGGTATCAGGTAAACAAGCTAGGATGCTATGTGGCTGCTACGTGACTGTTTATTTCACTACAGCATGCTGACTCACAGAGCGCAGCACTACTTATTCCCAATCAATCATACCAACATAACACAATTTGAATCTAAATTGCGTCCTGTTAATATATACCCACTCCTTTCCATTGACTGCTTCCAGTATTTGGCTCATAATCTGTAATTTTCTGTGTGTGTTCTAATGCTAGTCTTTTCATATGGTGTTCGGTTATGCATAATATGTGTGGGATAGCTGAGTACAGGGAGCTTATTAGTTCATTCCATTTTTTTAGGCCTGGTATATTCTGGTAGAATACTTTTAAAATTTTATGTTTTGTTGATTTTATTGTACTACTTTTTCTGTTTATGATTCTGCTTGCTTGATATATTTTACTGTTTGGCAGGTTAACTTCTTTTGTGACCACTGTTACCAGGGTAGTTTTGTTGTATCTAGTTTGCTGAGGGCAATATGCCTTCATATCATTAATTATTAGATCACTCTCTGATGGACCTGTTGACCATAAAAATCATCTGTCCTTGTTACTGGATGTTTTCTGCATCTGTTATCATCCTTGCTGTCTTCAGGCTAGAGGAAGGCTACTGATGCTGCAACAACACATCACTCTACAATGATGGATATTTCCTCTCCTGAATCTGTGTCCATGTACAAGTCCTTCTCTGTCGCCATGTTACTGATACGTGCAAATTTGGATGAGTTGGCCATAGCTAATCACAGGATGGCAATTGTTGAACACAGATATCTTACTGATTTCACTCATTCAGCTCAGCCACATCTGATGGTAATTCCTCCCTGAATTCCATGTTCCTCTCAAATTGCAGTTACGGTGCAATATTAACATCAGCTTGTTGAAGCAAGTAGGTTTGAATTCTCAAAAATTCGGTCAAGTTTGTAACCAAATGAAAAGCTGTGACACAAAGCACTGTTTGTTGACAACTGTAGTCAACAATGGGCCAATGATGACTGGAGTTTTAATGCACATTTTATGGTTAAAGATTCTAAACTTTCCTGAACATCTTTTCATGTATACTTACAATTTTTATTAGACAAGGCCTACAATAATCTTTAATTCTAACCTTCACTTGAATTATTATTCTTACACAATTAATCCTGGTGAGTTCAATTTATTTGTGAAACTAGAGCCTTATTTCTCATAGGATTCTGAATCTCTGAAGTTGTTTCACATCTTCCCTGAGCAAAAGGCACAATATTCATGTTTTTAAATATATTTATTATGGAATACTGAAGAATGAACAGCTGGACATACAATTTAATAATGCTTTGCAATGAGCTCATATTTAATATTCACTGTTGTGGAATATTACATGTTAGTTGCTGTGCACGGATGTGATTCCAATCAATGGCTGCTTCCACCAGTCCAGTACCTCGGAAGAAGTCAGCAGACACAATGTTAACCGTCTGACCCCATGTCCCACGGTACCAAGCTGTCACATTTTCATTCACCATACCAGCCATACGACGCAGTCCACCTAACTCATCTGTAATTATCTGCAGTATTGTTGGTGTCAACTCCGCCATTGCTGACCATCCCCTGTCATTTGGATGCCTGCATACATGAAAATGCAGAAAAGCTTACTTTGAACAACCTGTGCTATTATGACTCTTCTCTAGATAGAACTATAATATGAGGACAGCTAATAAATCCTTCAAACATGCAAAGACATTCAAATATCTGGGAATGAGAGTAAGAAATAATAAACACATTCTGAAAGAAATTATAGATCAGATTAAATTCTGCAAATCTCTTCTGCCGTTTAGTTCACAATTAGTCTGAGGGAGAGGAAGTAACAAATGGATGGAGCAAATTACATATTGGGGCACTTCATAATCTGTCCTGTTCATCAGATGTTATAATTGTGATGAAAACAAGGATGATGAGTGGAACCTATAGCACAGATGATGGAGATGACAGATGTATACAAAATTTGGAACAAAAAGGATGTAGAGAAGATTAGCTTCCAATGAAGGAATCTGCTCCATGCAGTGCTAAAGGGCTAATATAGGACACACAATTACATTGTTGCATTTAGACACTGGGCATAAATCTGTGGTGCCACTCTGAAAATGAGTTCTTCCCATTTCATATACATGGTAGAGTCATTAAGTTTTTGGACTGTGGTTTTATCGCATCATATTACAAGGTATTCACGTACACTTACACAGATCCAAATTGACCCTCAAAATAGTTGCCGTTGTTCGCTATGCAAGTCTGCCAATGTTCATATAGCTGCTGAAAACATTGCTGAAACATATTGGCGGGAAATTCCCTTACGGCGTCTCTTGTGGCATTGATGACCTCCTCAGACAACTGAAATCTATGACCACATAGCTTTGCTTTCAAGAAATCGCATGGTGTGAGATCAGGTGAGTACAAAGGGTGTGGCAAAACGATGACCTGTTGCCTTGCCAGTTCCTCTTGGACAATAACAGAGTGATGTGCAGGGGTGTTGTCATGTAGCAACAGCAATTATTCCTACTCCAAACGTTTCGCAAGAGGATTTGCCTAGTTTTTGGAAGAATTTGATGTTTGCCCGTTGTTCAAACTGCCACATATTTTATTTCCGCCACTTCAATTTAACTGCCGTTCACAATACAGGCTGTACGTTCTGCTCACATTGTTTGCACATAACTGCCTCTTGCTGTGACAAGAGGTGAACTGACAGGTCACCATATCCTGCCCCAAGCCATCTGCTGTAGTGCACTGCAACGACGCTTTGCGTCCAGTCCACGAACTTACTGACTGTGGTAGCATATTTTAAGAGTGCATAAAAACACATCTTATGGGTTAATTTCTGTAGTGTTTGTTATTTTGCTAGTTACTGTACATTCAGGGACTCCACTTATGAATATCATTTCCACTGTTCCTGTTTCTTTAGCCCACTTTTCTTCAACAAGGAAACAAGGCGGCATATAAAACCACCAAGCTGTGTGTGTGTGTGTGTGTGTGTCTCTCTGTCTCCGACTTCAACTCTTAAATAAACTGACCATTGCCATGAAACTTGGTGTGAACATTATGCCACTGGAGGCACTGTGACACTTTTCTTTTAACTTCCAACAACCAGAAATAGTAACATGGCAGATCTGCAAACCTTGAGTTGGAGGGGAGGGGTGATATTAGTGTCATGTAAATCAGGTTCCTGACTTGATGTATGGTAATAGATTTTTAAAAAACTCCAGTTTTATGGAGATAATACACCAAAAAAGCTAGGAATTTGAAATTTGGTATAGAGATCAATCATATATGTACTTACATTATGCATAAAATATTGTTCACAAGTCAGCAAACATGGTGACAGTGTGAAATTTTCACATTATATCTGACAAATTTAATACAAAATCTGTATTTACATGAAACTCCTTCACAAAAATAAAATAAATAAGAATAATAATAATAACAGAGCTGTAGGACTAGACATATGTGCAACAGGAAAGTAGACTGTGTGACTTCTGCTTAGAACTCCTTGTTACTTCTTTGAATAACTGTTCATATTTCACAAACACGTAACAATGACAGACCTGCTACAATCTGCTATGCAGTAGTTTTGAACTTGTTAAATACAGTGTCCTTTCAGTAACATAAAAATGGATAAAACTGTATAATAGGAAGCTTCTAGCATCATTAGGGAGAATAAATTAAACAAATAAAAATGGACTGGACATGAGGCTAGTAAGAAGTAATAAGCAGCCGTTGGTTACGAACAACCCTTGGGTTCTTATATAAAGAGGAAGTGCTTTTTGGGCAACTGAATAGTCCATAAATTATTCAGAAAAAAAAACCCCATTGTAGCATGAAGTTCACTGTGGAACAGAAAACCAGTACAAGAACTGACACTTTCAAAACTTTGGTTTATAACAATTTAAATATTTCAGCTATCTAGGAGATGAATTAAACAATTAAAGAAAAGAAAAGTAACTTTAAGTGAAGGATAAGCGTCGTTCTTGTCATGTTAAAAAAGACAAAATTCCAAATTCCTATCAGTCTTCTCCTAGTGGCTGTGCCACCTGAAGACCTAAGTTCATTGCTTCTAAGACAGTATAGTATACGAAACCATCTTCTAGCAAATTCAAATACATCATATGGCCAACCAATGAAATATGTTCCTTTTATGAGAAGCAAAGATCAGTCAAGTTTACAGAAATAGAAGGAAATGTACACTACACCAATTTTCATATTCACTTATGCTGATCAATAAGACACAAACAGTCAATGCAAAAATGGCAACTATACGAAGCACGGAACGAGAGTGCCACAAAACAAATTAGTAAAAGAAGACTGGATCCATACTTTGTTATGACATACGTTTATATTTAAATCCCAAAGGTTTACAAAGTTTCCTATTCACAATGGTCTGCAATAAGATGCTTTATTGCAATCGCTTTTTAGCTTTGCTTTAGAATATGCTACTAGGGAACTGCAAAGAAATTGGTTATGATTGAAGGTGAATGGGTCACATCACATTCGGTTCTATGCTGATGATTTTAATTTATTTCATAAAAATATAAATAAAAAAAGATAACAGAGAAGCTCTGTTAGACACTAATGAGGAATCTCGGAATTACTGGGTTTTCAGACATTGTCCATCGTCTGATATTCTAAAAACTAGAAAACAGAGCGTTTCAAAAACTGAATCTGTATCCGTCCTGAGGTGAGGAGGGAGATATCTACTCTGTTGTGTCCCTTAGAAAGAGATAACCTCAATCACTGGACCAATAATTCTAATTGTTAAACACACCATCAACAGAATCCTTTAGAATCCACTAATAAAGAGGCTGGTCTAGAAGTAAATACAGAGAAAAATAAGTCTATGTTGGTGTCTCATTATCAGAATGCAAGCCAAAATTGTAATAGACACCCAGCTAATAAAATAATTCAAATGTGTACTGGCAAAGTTGAACAATTTGGAAATGAGAGTAATAAATGAAAATTACAAATTCCAAAGAAAGTAAGATCAAATTAAACTTGTGGAATGCTTAGTATCATTCGGTTTATAACTTCATGTCGCTTTAAGAGAGACGGGACATAACAGAAAGCTGGAAAAAAAACAGTGTCACAGGAAGCTTCATAGTCTGTATCTTTGACCACATGCTATTGGGGAGGCCTAATCAAGGAAGATGATCAGGTGGCACATTCAGCATATGTGCACTTGAGAGACAAGGCACAGTTTGGTAGAAATGTTGTATCTTCATGAAGTGAGATGTGGATAGAATTCATATGGCTCAGAATAAGGTCCAGTGGTGGGCTTTTATGCCACTGTAATGAAATTCTGTGTTCTGTAAGACATTTTTGAGCAGCTGAATCACTATCACTTTCTCTTGAACTCTGCTCCATGAGGTTGGCTAGCTACTTCTACATCTATACCAATTTTACATATATTTACCATAGTATATGAAATACAGTTTGCAGGGTATTTTTTTCTGAATATTCCCATAAAATTGTAATGTCTATTAAAAAGTATTAATGTCCTGGAAATACGTCTGGGTGTGTCCGATTGAAACTTGTAACTATAAACTTTAATACTGGAACTCTGCATCCTTTTGACAATACCAAATGAGAATAAACAGTTGCATACATATGGTCATTTCAGAACTGCAGTACATGGCCAGAAGGCTTGTAAACAATTTTTTGAAATAATAAATAACTTATACATGATTAACCAAATGAACAAAATCATGCAACTCACTTGTTCACAACGCCAGATAGATATGTATACAAATCATCTAGCGTGTGTACATCTCCCCACTGATGAGCCACTGCTGGCCACAAAATGTCACTTCTTTCTACCATCTGATTGTTATTGTATGTCAGAAGAAGCCGTCTATTTGTTGACCAGATCTCCCCCAGCTGTGCATTCCATGTCAATGATGACAGAGCTGCAATATCCCCAAATTCTCGCTCCAAGTACTCAAGCAACTTCTCATGAATAGCAAGGCCTGAATTGAATCCTGTTAACAAAATACTGTGTAAACTGATAAAAATACATTTAATTAAAATACAAAATAAATAACATATCATACAACTTTTCTGCGGTATTTTCATTGTACAAATGGGACAGCACACACACACATAGAACGTTTATTGTGTCAAGTGTTCCAGGTCTTCAAAAACTATACACATAAGCCAATGTACAAACTGTAAGGATGAACATTGCCTTTGGAGGTGTAAGGATTTCTCAGAAGTGAGAAATTTTGCCACTTATAATGAGAAGTCAGTTATCAGTTACTTCCAGAAGAAATTAAATTTGTACATTTATTACAGCATGGTTTTATTATGCCTTCACTGAATAGTATGGAATTGTAACACACAAAGTAATATCTCTCACCTACAGGGAATTCATGGAAATCAAGAATCACAATCTCATTTGTGTTCTGTAAAAATGTTTGCACATCATCAAAAACAGTTTGCAGTGGATGGATGGGCACTGCCCCATGATTCACCCACCAAACATCATTTCTGTCATTATAGTAGGCTGCGCGAATATCTAGATACCGCACACCATTGACCAGCTGGCTCAGTATATCCTCCTCCTACAAGCACACATGAAAGAAGTGTCACCGACAATAATTTCCTACAGTTTCAATAAAATCACGTAATCATATTCTTTTATAAACTGTAGTACAGTATTTTTACAATAGTGGTCTTCATACATCAGAAGAACCTGTTGAAGACAGAAATTTCATTAAATAAAAACCTGTCTTTCACGAGAAAATTTCTCTAGTCCTCTGAATGTAGATCAAAATCCACTCTAAAATCGGTCCTTCATGAAACTAGGTATGTATATCATGCCACATAAGGCCATTTCAACAGCGCAATTAAAAACCCTCTTTGTTTGGTAACATCAACATTCAACATTACAGCCTTTAAAGCTAATGTGAAAGCAAATATAATGTTACTTAAATTTCTGAATTGATCTTCTTGGAACTTGGTACATATATAATACCACCTAAGCCCTTTCCATTTCCCCCCAATCAGCAATACCAACATTACATACAACATTTCAAATTGCTGTGGCAAAACCTTAATATTGCTTGAATGCCTGTACCAATTTTCATGAAACTTTGTAGGTATATAATGCCAGATGAAGCCATCTCAGTGATGTACTTCAAAGATCATTTTGATAAGAAACACCAACATTAGAGCTTCTCAAATTGTTGCAGTAATAACCATGTTACTTAAATGCCTTAACTGATTGTCATGGAACTTGGTATGTATATCACACCACCTGAGCCCATTTCAATGGCTTACATAAATCCCTATCATCAGCAATAAAATTACTACAGCCTCTCAAGCTGTTGAGGTAATACCCTTAATATTACTTGAATTCCTGAACTGATCATGAAACCTGATATATATGTCATGCCATCTGAGATCTTAATGGCATCAATCATAAAAGGTACCCATTAGTAATACAAACACTGCAGCTTCTCAGATTGTCAAGGTAATAACCCCAATATTACCTGAATGCCCAAACCTATCTTCATGAAACTTGATATGTACATCATGCCATCTGAAACCATCTTAACGATGTACTTCACAAATCACATCCATCAGTAATACCAACACTGAAGCCTCCCAAACTATACTGTTTCTTGATTTCCTTATGAATACATACTAAAGTTTTCTTTCTCCTTCTCATATCATATATTCAGTGCTGATTTGTGTGTTATGTTTTCTAAGAGAAAGTGCCAGACATTACCACAGGAATGGGACATCAAGAATAAATGAAATAGCTGCAGAAGTCCAAAAATTTAAGGGAAAAAACAGAGTATATACAACAGGAAAATAAATGTTCTAGACTGTGGCTGTTCTTGGTATGGTACCAAATCCTCTTAAACCTGCATAATGTGGTCCCACTCCCCCATATTTAGAGTGCAAATAGCAGGTGACAAAAAGGACATTATGTGAATAAACACGGTACCTCTGAAAACCATCTGATACTTTGTATGAAGTTTGTTCTATGAGACAACACAATATTATTCTGGTGGTGTGTGAACTTATTATATGGAAGAAACACCATTAATACAATGGAGATGCTTCTATCTGTAATACAATTTTCATTGAAAGTGGAAATAACACACTGACTGAAGAATTGCTAACCAAAAGACTGAAAGAATAAATTTCTCATGCTTTTGTCAGTCCATTCAGCACAACTACAAAACTGATGCAACTGCTTCTTCTAAACGTTTCCTTCTTAAACAATTATTTTGTCTAAGGGAGAGCCATACATTGCAACATCTAAAGTCTGATATCAGTTACTTAACATATGGCTCACCTGTGTTATAGTGTACTTGACAATTAGATTGTTTGCAGAAGAAGAATTGTATCTGTCATATGCTCCTGCATCATGCGTTCCTGGTAAGAAGATCTGTCTCAGCAGTAATGGAGACAGTTCTGTCTTCAAGTCAGACATCCAGGTGGGTTCAGTATGAAGACATGAACTTGCTAGTGTACTGTTGCCTGCACTCTTATATGCTGCCCAGAAGCCAAGACACTTCTTGGAATACCCCAAATCCTGGGAATAACTTGCTGTTTCGTGAGACGTTGTTTCTGCCCAACCAGATGGGTTATGTGGTTGTACCACAAAAAGTGGTATTGATAGATCTGTAGGTTCTTCGTTAAAGAGACCAATCCAATCTCCACTCAATGGAGATGCATTTTCCCATGACAGAATGAGACGTCGAGCGACATTGTCTTTTGGGACAGGGGAAACAATTATGGACACCTGTAACTCTTTATCTGTATCAGCAAATTCTGCAACACAATGTGCAAAAGAATTAAAACACATACACTTGTACCTCTAAATGAAATAACCTTATGCCTTTTGCTTCTTTCTGAAGGTCCAAATTTCTCAATAGAACAGTCGTGGTACAGCCATAAAACTAAAAACCTTTAATTAAAAGCCTTGAAAAAAGTAAAACATTTAATTTCTGCAGACTCATTACCAATTGCCTGAAACTTAATTTACAATTTCCTTTAGATTCTTTTGGGAGAATTATATGTTTTCAAGAATTGTGATATATTTTGTTATGCATTCAGAATGTCTAAAGAACTGCATTACTCATGCACATTATACAGTCAACTCTTGATTATCCGGGATAATGGTGGGGATGGAAATCACGATTAATCGAAAACCTGGTTAAGACAAATTTTATTAAAAGTAGTACTGTAATACTGTACCTTCATAATACTATAGGCCTGCCTGTATTTAAATTTATTCAACCTCATTTTTATGTCATCTCATGGCCTATTTAATACTTTTTTTACATTACACTGAAGTATGAATTAGTTATTTCAATCATAGTCTTCAACAACATCCAACACGAATATTAACACTTAAAAAAATTTAATATTGTCATTTACTTTTTCGCAGCATTTTCCTTTTTCTGTTGAATACTTAACACACCACGCTTCCTTTTACACCCTGACATTTTGCTAACGCACTTGAAGATCGATACAAAGATACTAACTGGGGCGATGTATCTGTCCTTGAAACTTTCCACAAATCCTTGATTTCTTTCACCCCTACCCTAGAACACTGTGTTAGCATAACGGGACCAAAGAATGCAGAGCTCGGTTCACACTAGTGCGAAAATAGTGTTACAACTCGCCATGTGAAACAAAAGTGAATGAATATTAAACAACATATAAGCCTCAAAAAAGCCTCAATAGCCCCGGTTAAGCCGCAAACCGGTTAATCCGCCCCCGCCTAATCGAGAGTCGACTGTAATTTATTTTCTCTCCTGAGTTGAGTTTATTTAGTATTGTATTTTACAATGAGAACAGAACCTACAGCCCTTCTACTGTGAACAATAATGGCCTAGTGGTACATCCCATCATTTATCCTATTAGCAATCCTGTACATTCAGTGGGGTTTCATTTGCTGACTGATACATTCTAATAATCATCAGAGTTAAGGACATGAGTTCAGAAGAGTTGGCACCAGAGTCCTACAAAAGACTCACAATAACAAAGTACATGAATGACTGCTTTATAAGAGCCTTGCTACAGGTCAAGTCATCAGCAAATCCAAATTTCTACAGGTGTCTTCTAAGTGACAGTGATCTGTGAGTTATCTGTCATAGAGCTTAACTGGTTCCTACTGAGCCTCAGTGATGCTAAAGTTCTGATAATTATCAGAACTTTATCCTAGGAAACTAAATAAAGCTTCCTATCATTATAATGATAGGAAGCTTTATTTAGTTTCCTAGGACACATATGTAACAATAAACCTCAGAATAATTTCCCCATCAGTTAAAATATTTTAAACAGACCTTCCTGAGAAATAATTCAATGAGAACACCAAAAAGAACATGAAGACAGCAGGCACAAAAGTAGAATCGTCCTTGTTTACAGCTTTCTGGGTGAATTGGAAATTTGGTATTCATTCTATTACCTGTGTGGTCCTGAGTCTTCCTGTAATGTGAAATGCTTTGCATATGTGACCTACTTTATAATATATCTCTTTTCGTATATCAAAATAAATACCTTCATAGCACATCACACATGCTGTACCTGTTCAGATGCAAGCACTAACCATTTATTGAGCACCTCCTTACTAACCCACTGGTAACAAAGTGCAACAATAGCTGTAGGACAAACACAAGACTGTATTTCCGCATGATACAGCTGAGACTTCAACAGTCCAAGTATTTGATGCTAAGACAATAATAAAGATGAACAGGAAGGATGCTGTCACCTTAAATCCAACCTGGGTAAACAGATTTGGCCAGTTTAAATTATTTATAAACATTAATTAATGACAGAACATAATTCTTAAACACAGTGTTAAGACTGGTGCAACACATTTTACCTACTTAAGAGCATATGAGACAACAATTTACAATGATCACAGATGATACTGGCATGTCTTCTTGTGAGTCTGTACTTTTATGTGATTATGGCTGTTTGTCATGCGTATGCTGACAGTAATGGTTAGGCAACAATTATGCCATGTCAGACTAGGCAACAGATGCTCTCCTGAATTCAAGACAAATATACCCAGCTGAAAAAATATTTAGACATGAAACATTCATCAAAAAGGCTTTTCATATATATGCAAGGTCATAGCAAATATATAATGAATTATATGTATGTTCAGCTTAAAAAAAACATTCAGATGTGGATTTATGTGAAAAGAATCTTCATTAGTATTTCTGGTATGAAACAGAACAAGGGTAGTAAAGTGTACTCGACTTTGAAATACACATACTTCCCAATCAGCTCCTATATATCTCAATGGCACTGATGATTATATGATATTATATGATGATCATATCAAGAGTGCATAATTATGCACTCTTGATATAAATCTTGTAGCAAGAATCTTCTCCATTTCACTAAATGTAAAATGTTAACATAAGTCATATGCAGGATGCCTCTCTGAGTTAAGCAATGATCTTAATAAACCATTTTTTATTATGTCCTATAAGGATTAATCCTTATTAATCATGTGTTTTTAAATCTCAGTGAATATTATATACACGTATGTACTGCATCACAATAACTTTCAGTATCTTTTCAGTAAAGCTTACTTACGAAGGGGGACCCAAAAATAACCGGAACCGACCTGTTGTGTGCGCATGCTTTGTAGTTACGAGTTGTGCTGCTAGGTGGTGTTAGCTGGGGGTCTCCCGCGACTGTTAGTGAGCTGGCGCCAGTCTGAGTTAAGTGGTTTGTCTGTGGTGTGCGTTCCTGTTTCAACCCTTTGGCGATTAGTGAGATGGCTGACCAGAAGGAAAAAAGAGTGTGCGTGAAATTTTGCTGTTAGGGAAAACTGCAGCCGAGACTGTTGGGATGCTTCGGCAAGCCTTTAATGATGATGCTTTGAGGAAATCACAGGTCTACGAGTGGTTTTCCCATTTCAAATCTGGCAACATGTCAACAGAGGACATGCCACGCCCCGAGCGTCCTTCGACAGGAAGAAATGACAAAAACATTGCCAAAATCAAACGTGCAATTGATGAAGATCATCGAAAGACCATTGACCAACTTTCTGAGGAAACGAACATCTCCTGGAGCACGGTCCAGCGAATTTTAACCGAAGGTTTGCACATGAGACGGGTGTCTGCAAAATTTGTTCGTCACTTGCTCGGAGATGACCAAAGAGAAAACCGTGTGAATGTTTGCCGCGACTTGAAGAGTGAAGTGCAGAACGATCCAGAATTTCTTAAAAGAATTGTGACTGGCGATGAGTCTTGGTGCTACGGGTACGATCCAGAATCAAAGCAATCATCAAGCCAGTGGAAAACTCCAACTTCACCACGACCGAAGAAAGCGCGTCAAGTGTGATCCAATGTGAAAACAATGTTGATTTGTTTTTTTGATGTGAATGGCATTGTCCACAAAGAGTTCGTTCCGCCAGGACAAACAGTGAACCAACATTTTTACCTGGATGTGTTACGAAGATTACGAGAGAGTGTGCGACGAAAACGGTCCGAAATGTGGAGAAATGGGAACTGGTTGCTTCACCACGACAATGCTCCAGCCCACACAGCTTTGACGGTCCGACAGTTTTTGACAAGCAACAACATGGTGATTGTGCCTCATCCACCTTACTCACCCGACCTGGCTCCGTCGGACTTTTTTTTGTTTCCACGGATGAAGAGAAGTCTGAAAGGAAAGCGATTCCGTGATGTGGATGAAGTCAAAGAAAACACGCTAAAGGCTTTGAACAGTATCCAGCCTCAAGAATTCCAGCACTGTTTTGAGCAGTGGCAAAAGCGTTGGGACAAGTGCATTAATGCACATGGACAATACTTTGAAGGGGACTAATATACAGTTCAATAAAAATGCAAAAATAAAAAATAACAAAAATAAATTCCGGTTATTTTTGGGTCCACCCTCGTATATTATTGATGACATAGTGTGTGGCTTGGGGAAAATATTAGAAACTATTAGAAAATATGAAATTTCGGCCAAGGAGAGTTTAGGTTATTACGAACTGAAGAAGCATAAGCCATGGTTCGATGAAGAAGCTCAAAATTATTAGACCAAAGGAAACAAGCTAAACTGCAGTGGTTACAGGATCCAAACAAAATAAATGGGGATATCTGAACAATATAAGACGTGGAACCAGCAGGCACGTCAGGATTAAAAAGAGGGAATATCTGATACAAAATTGATTAGCTTGCAATGAACAGTAAGAACATATAGAGACCTGTATAAAGTAATAAATGACTTTAAGAGGAGTTAACAACTTATAAGTAACTTAGTGAAAGATGAGAATGGTGATCTGCTTGCAGATTCCTGCAATATTTTGAATAGGTGGCAGAACCACTTTTCTCAGTTATTGAATGTACATAGTACATAGTGCAAGTAATGTTAGGCAAATAGAAACACATACAGCTGGACCATTAGTACCTGATTCTAGCCTTTTTGAGGTTGAAATTGCTACTGCAAAATTGAAAAGGTATAGATCGCCAGGTACTGATCAAATTCTGGCAGAACTTATTCAAGCAGATGGTGAAATATTACAGTCTAACATCCATAAGCTAATTAATTCTATTTGCAATGTGGAAAAATTGCCTGATCAGTGGAAGGAATCTATTATTGTACGAGTATAAGTTCACAACAAGGGTGATAAAACTGAATGAAGCAATTACTGTGGGATATCACTTCTATCAACTTCATACAAAATGTTATCCAATATACTTCCCTCAAGGTTGGTGGCAGTATACATGCTTCTTATATCCCATGTCTATTTTCTTTAGCTTAAGTCATTTACCCAAAGAATCTGTCAAGGTCTGAGGTCCTTTGTGACATCTCATAAAAAGCTTATTTTTTATGGTGAGGAGTTGTTGGCCCCATGCCCAACCCTGAAACTGGAAGACCACGCCTTGTCAGCTGTCTGCAACTTCTTAATCAATATATATGCAGTTACCCTCCATTTCTGGAGTCAACCTCCTCCATCTGCAACCTGAGGACATGCCATGCCATGGTAACATGGGACCCACCTAAAATGGCTGCTGTAAACAACAGTTCTTGTAAATGATGTGACAGTGTCTCCCCATACACTGTCAACTAGCCCTGTGCCAGCTGCATCCATGCCTGTACTTAACTCATGGCAACACGACGCTGCCAATGTTTCTACTTACCTAAATCTACAATATAGCAAGACAATACTGCCACTGTTTCTACTTACCCAGGCATATTACATGCCAGTACAGTACTGTCAATGTTTACATAGGCCTATCCCATGAAACATTCAGTTCACATAAAACAATAACATTCATCACCAGCCACTGCTTGAATGGTATAAGAACTACAGAATAAATTATATATTCATTCAAAATGATCAGGTCTGAGCAGTGGAAGCAGAGTTTATGAACTCTATTCCAAATGTGGATTATGCTAAGTATACTTATTAGCTATACAGTCAGTCAAATATGTAGCATATTAGTATATCTGATGGTCACTGACCAAAGCTTCACACCTTTCTTGGTTTTGTCTCCGAAATGTGTGTTAGCTGTGACATATGCTTTCTAATTCACATAATAACTGTCTTCCTTATGTTTGGTACATGAAACTATGAACAAAATTAGGAGATATTGAAATGCTAATGTAAATTTTAATGTGGCGGTTATATGCATACAAGAACAAACAGCCTGCAATTGAATAATACCAAATTTTTCACATATACATATACAAGTATTTCATTTTATTCTCATTTACTACTGATATTGTGTATCAATAGTAAATAAGAATATAAATGAAATACTTGTATGATGTATGTAATAAAATAATAATATTCATAAAAAATATACACACTCTTAAGAATACAAAGTTTAACTGGAGTAGACAAAAGGCACCAATGTTTTAACTGTCCACTTCTCCAAATTTAATTTCAAAGCTAAGGTCACTAGTGCTGAAGTCAAATTTTCCTTTATTTAGCTCAGCACTGCTGCTGGAAAAGCAATGAGAGTTCTGGACAGATTCAACATCTGAGACTTCACTCCATTGGGACATTCCACCTGGCTCACTGATCTCTGAGTAATGATGAGGAGGACTTGGTAAGAAGATGCCAGTTCCCCTTCCTGCTCGTTCTTTTATTTTCTCAAACAAATCCCTTAATTTATCTTTGAGTTCTTTGCATGTTTTAGGTTCAATCGTGGTCACTTCGCTTCTAGATTCTGAAGTAACATCCTCTGATAATGAAGTCACAAGAAAACTTTTAAATTCTAGGCTCTTCAGTTCTCTGAATGAGAAACTCTTATTAGCTTCTAGATCAGAACCGTCTTGATTATCTTTAATGTTATTCCCTTCTGCTAGAAGCAGTTCAGGTACCTCCTTTGAAGACAATTTATTTATATCCTTAAGAGATGATGAAGATATTCGGCTAATCATCTGCCAGGAAGGATAAACACCGAGAGATGATGGAACACTAGATGTGGGAGAAGAACACACTGGCTGCTTCTCAATTTCTCCACCTTCAGCCTTTTTAAGAAGCAGTGGAATTTCTGTTCCCCGAGAGTGTAACTTGGATTCTTTACTGAAGGGTGACTGCTTTCCTTTATTGTTCTCATTTGCAGCCATATGAGTGGTGGAATACAACTTAAGGTTCATCAGTTGTTCTGATGCAAAAGCCTGAATGTCCCTGCAAAAAATGCAATGCAACTGTAATTGACAATACAAGCTGAGAGGCTCCAAACCAGTGGAAGTGAACATATATATCTCGGCAGGAACATTGTAATCATGTGGCAACAGCAAAGACTGAATATAAAGAGTAGAGTTATTGTGAAAGCTGAGATTATAAGAACCCAGGAGATCACTGTGGCCAATTTGAAGTTGCAATTCCAGAATTAACCTGCAGGAAATATAAAATCACAGAAATATCACTTAGGATAGTTAGTCTTTGGCAAAGATTCAAACTGGACATATCTTAAATATGAATCAGACATACTGTCACTGAATGATGTAACAAATTTATTAAATTGAATCTTTACCACACACTTCTCTTACTATATTACAACACAGAGGTGTTACAGTTGTAGTGAAGTAACATCAGCACATATGATTTCTATTGGGAATTTTTTTTGTGATAATCTTACCTACTTAAATGAATGTCATGAGATACAGAAGAAAAAGCATCAAAGTGGCAAGAGATGTTTGGAGTGGAGGCAAAAAGTAATCACTTAGGCCAAATTTCACAAACCATGACTTGCCTGAAAGGTAGGATGTCCATAACAACAACACAGCAGAACATACTGCCCACTTCTGTCATTTAACTATTACTAGATAAATTCAGTCAGCTTGCCACTTGCTTCCACTGGTTTCTTATCTGACTTATCTTCAACCCTCAAGATGGAGGCAATATGTTCCTCTGAAATGTCAGGCTGTCTTTGAACTACATGGTGTTGCAGTCCAGGGGACCATACTCTTCACTTACCTCCAAGAGAACCTCAAATCCAACATCTGATAATATTGTTTTTCTTTTTGTCATCTGGACAAAACACATCATTCAAGATACTGTCACGTAGTATGTGTGACAATAGATAGGGTCTGGATTGGTGAATTGATTTACTAACCACTTATACATATGACTCGAACTACAAGCAATTATAGCACCACTGCTAATCTCCACAATTTACAAATCACCACAATATCCACTAAGCCTTTTCCAGCCTGTCTTCACCAGCTGCTCCTTGGCAATGAGTTCTAACAGTGGAGATTCTTCAGCTTAATGCCCTCAGATCCTCTGTTCACAGCATCCCATGTGGATTTCACTCTCAACTAACTCTGTCCCTTGCTTATAACATCTTGGCACGAACCACATAGAACCACCCCACTTCCACCATTGTAGCACAACTGGTGCATTATTAAGAATCTGCTGCCTAGCAAGGGGAATGTGTTTATGAAGCCAATGCCCAGAAACGGTTGCTGTTTACAGAGTTGTTGCATAGCAATGGGTCTATATGCCAAAATATATAAACTGAGAGACTGGTCACTCAACTGGTCTCATACAATGGCATGGCAGTATAATTATAATTAGACATCTAACTAACTAAACTAACTAAATCCATGAAGCTATGCCCTTCTGAGAAGCCGCCAGTTATGCAGCTACTCAAGAATTTCTGCATATTTTATGGAACCCGAAGGTTCATTACCGTGTTCACAAGAGCCTTCCACTGGTCCCTATCCTGAGGCAGATCAATCCAGTCCATACCACCCCATCCTATCTCTCTAAGACCCATCTTGATATTATTCTCCCACCTATGTCTTGGCCTTCCTACTGGTCTCTTTCCTTCTCGCTTTCCCACCAAAATTGTATATTACATACACACATACATCAGCGTTTCAGAGTATTCATAAGTGTGCAACTGGCACTGAATATAAGACTTGTCAAACAACAGTCACAAGACAATAACAGATAGAATTGCAGAGACATCAATTCCACTGTAGTTAAAATCTAAACTGAATACCTAAATTAAATAGATACAATGTTACACATACAATTATACCAACAAGATAATTAGCAATACATAATAATTCTCCTTCCTACTCATATACGAGTATACATGTGCATGCAAATAAGAGCTATAGCTGTCACGTATCTAGATATAAATTTCACAGTAATATAATGAAATATACCTAAATAAACATATTTCTGACTATAAATCCTTACAATAAAGCAAAAATTCATCAACTGAATAAAACGAATTATTGATTAATATTTCTTTTACTTTTCCTAGGAAAAGTTTCCTGTCTTGTACCAAATCTCTTAAATAGAGAGGCAAACTGTTTAAAATTTTAACATACACATACAATAAACTCCTTTGCCTTACTGCTAAATGTACCTGTAATACATGCAGATTCTCTCTATGTTTTGTGGTCTTATTATGGATTGCATCATTAATAGTATAATCACTGACTTCTTAACAAAACCAAAAATTTTACCAACAGTAGAAAAACCAATTCCAGTGATTGTGAATATGGAACTAAGAATTAATAAGAGATATAACAACATGCTTTCACAAAAATCTAAGCTTAACTTAATTGTAAAGACTAAGAACATCAAAAGAACTAACCATGGACCAAATGAGATAAATAAGCATAAAATAATGATAATAGGTGATAGCCATTGTAAGGGAACAGCAAGAAACACAAGTGATTACTTAGGAGATAAATTTGTGGTAATGGGTATGATTAAACTGGGTGCGGGTATTGAGGATATCCTTACATCAACGAATCAGAATTAAAGAAGTCTGACCAAAAAAGATGTAATAGTAGTATAGGCAGGACCTAATGATGTGTATAGAAATAACACAAGCCTAGCACTAACACAGTTTGTAAAATTCTGTAAGGAATTCAATAACGTAAATATTATCATATTAGATATCCCACACAGGTATGACCTGATGGAAACCTCCTGTGTTAAGAGTAATCCACATATTCAATAGAAAACTAAGGAAATTCACTAAAGTATTTAAACATGTTACTATTATTGAAATGAATAATAATAGAGAAATTTTCACGAGTCATAGATTACATTTAAATAAATTAGGAAAACAGCAATTTGCAAAACAAGTGGCTAATGAAGTTAGAAGGCTCACTGATAAGAAAGTAAGTAGCATAATAGGTTTGAATTGGAAACATGTGAGTAAATGGACTAGTCCAAACTGGATAATTGAACAGACAGATAAGAGTAATCAACTTCCAAGCGATGAAATGAGAAATATGAAGGAAGTCCTCAGAGAAATAGTAAAGGATGGGATAAAGAAAACACCCACTATTGTAAATTGTGAGGAACCAGACAAAAAAGTGAAAGATAATTCTGATGATATGAGACAATGTAATAGCTCAGAAAATTTAGTAGATATGGGTAACTCTTCAACTAAAGAATTAAAAATATCTAAGAAGACAAAGAGACCCCCACTAACAATGAATAATGATTTCTTATGGTAAATGGAAGAGGTAACCATGATTTTTATCCAGAATTAAGAGTCATCAGTAGTAGCAACAAGCCAATTAATTTAAATGGAAAAATTGTAAATAAAATTTCTGATTTAAATATTTATCATCAAAATATAAGAGGATTAGGTAATAAAATGGATGAGCTACTTAGTCAACGGGACTCTCAATCACCATACATTCTTTGTATAACAGAGCACCATCTAAATAGAGATGAAATCATACAGATCTCTTTAACCAATTATAATCTTGGCGCACACTATTGTAGGAAAACAAGAAAAATGGTGGTGGAGAAATATTTATCCAGCAATATTATCAATATGGGCCTATTAACTTAGAAGAATTTTGTATTGAACAATTAATTGAAGTGTGTGCATTGAAGTTATATCATCCCAATGACAATATTTGTATTTTAACTGTATATAGAGCTCCCTCAGGAAATTATATCCATTTTCTCAATATTTTAGAAGCAATACTAAACAGAATCTACACTAAGATTAAAAACATTATTTTATGTGGCGACATAAATATAAATTATTTAGATGATATGGGTAATAACAAAATTAGGTTAGTATCTCTTTTAGCATCATATCACTTAAGCAGTATAATAGATTTCCCTATTAGAGTAACAAAGACCTCAGCTACAGCAATTGACAATATATTCATAAACAGAAACATATACACAACATTTACAGTAACTCCATTATCTAATGGGCTTTCAGATCATGATGCCCAATTGCTCATATTAAGAATAACACCATTTTTAAATTCTTTCAGTTCTTCTGTCACTAGAAGATCAATAAATGAAAACTCCATAAAAGAATTTAAAAATAACCTCAGTTATGAATATTGGGCTGACGTATTTAATAGAAATGAAGATGTAAATATAATGTTCAACAATTTTTTAAACACATTCTTAAGAATATTTCATAACAGTTTTCCTTACAAAAAATTAATATTCACCATACCAAACAACCCTGGCTAACAATAGGCATAAAAACGTCATGCATTCGTAAGAGAGGGCTATATTTGCTTAGCAGAAATTTGGATCATCCGGAATTAGCAAGATATTACAAGAATTATTGCAGAATCTTAACAGAGGTTATAAAGAAAGCAAAACAACTTTATTATAATAAATTAATTTTAAATTCCGATAATAAAATAAAAACTACTTGGAGTGTCATCAGAACTATAATTAATACTAAATTGGGGAAAAAAAAATCCAATAGCAAGCATAAATATAGAAGGTAGGTTATGTAATAATATACAAAAATGTCTAGTTACATTAATAATTATTTTATATATCCACTACCACAAATAAAAAATAGTTCTACTAAAGAGAGGAATGAAGCCCTTAAATTCCTTACTACCATGTTTAAACACCCCTTTCCAGATATATATATATATATATGTCACCAGTAACTAATAAAGAAGTTAAAGACATAGTGAAATATTAAAATGGAAATATTCATATGGATATGATGAAATCCCACAATATATCTTCAAAATAAGTTTACCATTCATTTTGGCACCATTAATATATATGTGTAATAAAGTATTGAATCTTGGTGTCTTCCCCTTAAGATTAAAATATTCTCAAATACATCCTATTTTTAAAAAAGGTGATAGAACTGATATAGCAAATTATAGGCCGATATCTTTACTGACGTTATATTTTAGCGTCCT